TACTAAAAATGCGATATATCTCCTCTATGGTCCCATGTCTGGCAAAATATTGGTTTTTAGACCACTTTTACTCGCAAAGATGCATGTATGGCAATCAGAAATCAACCAACCAAAAAGTGGGATGCCTCATTAAGATCGCAAAGTGAATTATAAGTGGTAGCTAGAATCTCAGCCGGCCATCTTTCTTGACTTTGTATTTTTTGTGAATGGTTGGTAAATAATGGTTACCGGCTGTGACGATCTTCATCACATGACGGACAAAAGCTCAGCACTGAGACGTCAGGTTTGTAGGATGGTGAGCCGAGGTCTTCTTTGCACAAGTTAACAGTCGCGAGTCCAAAATAACCCTCCTTCGGTATCAGATGCGGTCAATCTACGAATCCCTTCCACCCGCCTTATTAAACCAAATGAAAGTTATTCCAGCATCAATCTACCAAGGGATTAATCTCTGTATATCACCGAGGAGTGTTGAGATACTTGTTATATCTACTCCATTAATAAATCGTTTCTAGTGTCATCTCTTGCATTGACAGCAAAAATCTGGGCAGACTTAATCCGAGAATGGATAATAGTATGCTAATAACTGTGGCGGAATTCCCTGTCATATCCTTTTACAGATCCAAATGTACCCATAATTAGATTACTAATGCTTCAATTAGATTTCTTAGGCAAAACATATCGGTCAGTATAGAGCCCTTTAGTAAAAGCACAAGGAATTAATTTATGTTATCCATAAAAAAAACACCTTGGAGTGACATCAATGTGAATAATTGAAGGTAGACCAAACAGCTTTCAGTTTTACGGACAAAGTCCAGTGGGTAAGTGTGATTCATATCGCTTTCACCATCGGAAATGACTTTCCAATAAAAGCGAATCTTATCAACATCGTCATTGAAATTACCAGTCTATCATGGATTTTTTTGCGAAATGTATTTTTACTTAATCAAGCTGGTTACAAAATCGGGATGATCAAAATTAGCAAAATGACTGAGAAAATCGCCAAAGATTATGCGATTACCAAAAATCTGGAATAAGCAATGCAATTTTTCAGTTGATACCTAATTTTAGGGCCCAAATTTTGGAGAATCAACTTGTGTAGCTATGTACATAATTCGTTTAAACGAATTGATAGGGAAATTTGCTACCTGTGCCGGATACTTGTATTCTAACTCACCTCTTCAACCTGACTTTCAGGAGCATAATGACATCCCTCCTGATCCAGGCTTGCTGTTCCCACCTCAATGCAGGCGAAAACGTCGCAAATGGCAACCGCCAGCGGAGCTGGGAAGACCTCCGCTGCACCATCATGTCGGCTCACCGAGTCCTGCGACAGCAGATCTGTTAATCCACCTCTCGTCTTCATACCTGACTCGATGGTAGAATCTGCTGGAGGAGACAACCAAATATAGCTCGTAGTTTGACCGCTCGAGCACAGTTCGCTGCTCTGTCTTGGCGCTGAGTTTAAATCCTGGTCAGACTGAAAAAAACATCATAAGACAGGTTTTATTTGATATACATGCAGAAAAAATAACCGTTTTCGCAAACAACCACAATACTAAAAATTATTTTTTGAAGCGTGATTCGCTCGGGTATACTCCACCAGGTATAGCGGATATGTAGTGAAATCTTGGCTTATTAATAGAAAACATTAATAAATACCAAAACTTGTTTAAATTTATAGACTTTGCTCATTTGTTAAGTGTGGGAATTAAAAGGTCACCAAAGAATAGCCAAAAAGAGTAGCTTAGAAATGGAATGCTGGGAGGCACTTAATGTCGTTCAAGGCGGGCTATCAGTTAATAGCACAAAACGTAGGGCATGTTGCTAGCCAAACGTTACAAACCGTGTAGAACAAGTGGTATGGCACACAGAGAATGGCTGAGAAGATAGCATTGGAAAATTATAAGAGACTACATCTAAATCATGTGTCAGCTGATCTTACAAACAAGATTTTAGGGTCATTCTTTCTCAAAAATAGGTTCCTTACTTCGGCATAAACCCAAACTCAATATGACTGCCACTCGGCATCATAAATATGTCTGCAAAGACGATCTAAATTCCTAATAAAAGACTCATAAATATTGACCCATTTGGCTAACAACCCAAATGTGTGGATGAAAGTAAGTCAGAAAAGAGACTGAAGGGCTAAAATAAATAAATAGAGGTTAAATTCGAGCAAAGGCTGACTTCAAGTTGGTAAGAAGACACCTAAAATCGTTGAAGAGAAGGCAGAATTGATTCAAAGCATGAGTAGAAAACCATTCGCGAACTGAGTGAATATTTGGTTATTTTTAGCATAATCTTGTTTGAACGAGGCAGATGACACTTCATTCTAGTTGACAGCAAACATTGCAGTCGTACAAATCGTGACTTGAAAAGACCTTATCCATAATCAGATCAGGCTAATCTGAAATACTACAGCATATATGCATAGACGTGTGTAGCAAAAGGGCCCAGTAGACCGAGTAAAGTGTCATATATCAGCAGATAAACTAGCTCGTTCTATTCTATTCTATTTTATATTCTATCTTCGATCGACGGCAAACAATTATTTTTGTTCAAGCTGGGCCGGAAAACTTCTCGAACAAAATGTATCTATAAGTGAATGGGAAAAGATACTTTAAAAAACACGAAATTTGGGGATTTAAACCGAGGTTTTTATCAAAATGTATGGCATATTCAACAAGTGACTTCGCAAAAATCCCTTGAGAGAGGAGACTCGTAGGCTAATCTCAGTGGATGTCACATAAAATCGAGTTAAAAGTAACTGGATGTATTTACAACTAAAACAATGCAGAAAGCAGTCATCGACTCTGTTTACTTTTCTTTTGAAATAAAAATACGAATTATCAAGGGATCATTTAAAACCTAGCTTCCGTTCATAAAATCCTAAATATATCCATTTTCTTTGTGAGTAAAATACATCCCGTGTATGTGAATCATAGCAAGTTTTGATGAAATGATAATATTTGATTGACTACATCTTACAATTAGAACAGTAAAACTAATCACGGATATGAAAATCAAGATTACGCAGTCTCTATTTTAATCGCAGTCTCCTTTGGCTGTAAAAAATTAATTTTATCTCGTTTTCAAAAGTTAATCGTTTCGTCAGGACAAGGCAGGCCTCTCAAATAATATTTATGATGAGCTTTAGATTGTTCATATGAGATGAAGTCACCTTATTCCGTTTAAGATGATGAAGCACTGATAGTTGAATTTTCCCGCAATCATATGAACAGATCTTACGCTTAAAATGAATTTCGCATTGCCTTTTTTCCCAAAAGGTATTCTCATCCAAACAGAAGTTACTTGCAGTTTTGACTTCGCCTATGCCTCATCAGCACATCAAGCGGGACTCGAACCATTACAGTGCAGTGTGTAATCTCGGCAAGCTAACCGCTATGTCTCATTGCCACGAGTGCACTTGGGCGACGGTACAGATGTGCATTCCAAGGAAGAACAGGCATTTTCCCACGTCACATTCGGAGGTAAGATTGTCGATGAGACAAAGTTATATTTGCTATAGAGATCGACCACATTAGTCTAGAAAACCTACATATAAATGCTGACCATTCATTTACCATTAAACTATACTAATTTACATATATTTGGTGCAAACATGTTTAGAAAATATCGCCCTTATGTAACTATGTTAATATACAATAATAAGTGAATGTTTCTAATAATGCTCAGACTGAATAAATGTAAATTCTGCGATTACTATGACAAATACGAGTATGACCATACTGGAAGTATCGAATACAGTCACAATTGT